AACAAGCCAGTAGGCCGTCATCCACGTCGCGTGTCATGCGCTGTGCACTACGTTACTCGTCCAAATGTTAAAGCAACAATCCAAGAACGAATTCAAAGGCAAAAACCCTCGAATTCGTTCTTGGATTGTTAATGGAGGTGAAAAGTTGATCGATAATGAAAGAAAAAGTAAAGAAAGTGCAACAGGGACTTAGACAGGGACTCCCCCTCTGCCACTTAGCAATGGAGGAAGACGCGTGTTGGACGAGTTGTCTGAACATGCCCGCAGTAAATGCGCCTCCAATTGCAATTATAGCCAGTAATTGCAATTGGGGCGCAATAATGAAATCGTTTTATGTTTTGAAGGTAGAAGGTAGAAGGAAAAAACGTAGAAATCCAGCGTAGTCGGCATCACCACATCGATTGCTTTAAAGGACGAGTCAAATACTCCCTGTGGTCCCAAAACGAGCGCGAATGCCTCCGCAGCCAATCACGGCTGGCAAGTGGGCGGTCCCGAAGAATTTCCAACCACACCCATTTTTGAGGAGTTTTACGCCCTTTTTGCGGCTTTCCCAGGTGAGTTTTCTTTACAATTACACTTCATATGTTCTCCACTAGGGCTAGTGCATCCTTCAATCCCAATAGTATTGAAAGCAACAGACCCTGACAACAGACTGCTTTAATATTAGTCGCTATTGCTGATTTTGCGAGATTCTCGCGCCATTATCCCGCACTTTCAAGCCGCGGCAACGGCACAGGTGTTTTAGTCATGGGCTACTCTATTCCAACCACTGAATAGATACTTCGACACGGCTTCTGCTTGGGATGTCACTTTCAGCCCAAGAAGGAAATGAAAATGAAATGGTCTCAAGGATGGGTAAATCGATGGCCACGGGCAGAAATCGAACAGGGTATTGATTTATGTATGTAAGGTATCGCCGCAAGGGAAATGCCGAATATGGTGAGTGAATTCACTTCGGAAACTGCATGACAGCTGTGGTTGGTAATATCCACTTTTTTGAAGTTCTCCATTTTCATCTTCTTTTCTGTGCTTAATTAGAAAGTGCACATGAACCACGTGAAATCATATATTATTTAGTTTTCAATAATAGTGAAACCACCATCATCAATGCATGCCAGTCTTTAGCAATGACTCGGAAAATAGGTTCTGTCAAGCTACTCACCAGGAAAGGCATTCAACTTCCCATGGAACTTTGAATTGAGACCCAGATATATCGATAGAGCTTCAAACGCTGATTACAAATATGGAAACTAAAACTGCAAAATGAACCTGCCAAGGAAGTTGTGAGCAGTCAAAGTTGCCTGCAATGAAGCATGCTGCCTCCCAGGCTTTCAGAGTCGCCGCGGAGCAGTGGTGGTGCCCTCGCTCTTCACCCTGGAGGTCATAAGCTCTCCTCCCGTTGGAGTGCAAATTCCGAGAGCACTACCACTACTCCACGGCGACTTTGAAAGCCTGGAGGCTAGTGTAATGCTTTACTTCCAGCCAACTTTGACTGCTCACAACTTCCTTGGCAGGTTCATTTTGCAGTTTTAGTTTCCATATTTGTAATCAGCGTTTGAAGCTCTATCGATATATCTGGGTCTCATCTCAAAGTTCCATGGGAAGTTGAATGCCTTTCCTGGTCAGTCCCAAACAGGGTCAACCGTGCGTTGCACAGATTTCAAAATTTTTACGACCTCCTCACTTTCGGAGGGTATCAGTACGACTCCCAATGTATTAGCTGTTGTGTCTTTACATATTTTAGGCCCATCATCGGTGTATGGGCCGTCATCGACATGGAGAGGTGGTGGATAGTGGGTGTATGTTATACGCTTTTAGGCTCGCGCGCGTGAAAACTTGTTGGTTGCGAGGAATCTAGGATCCATGATGATAGCGGATGGACTTGGGTTCGCGACGCAGGGGAAAATGTTTCGCGCTGCGAAATGCGAAAAAAATCGCATTCTGTCCTAGTAAACCACACCCGTGGACAGCGGCGCTTTGTCTCGCTCAGAGGACGGGAATCGAGGCAACATGGAACTTCACCCATTGAGTAGAAGCAATTTCCAAATTTTTGTGTAAAGCTAGGCATGTAGGTATCGCAGAAAATCCTACTTTCAGAACGTACCAGCCTTTTTTTGAACTCGCGAATCTGCTTCCTTCTATAAACCGTATAATTACTCGGCCTAGAATTATAAATGACCATGAAAATCTCTTTGTTGAGGTCAATGTCTATCATACCGTTTTTTCGTAGCCCAGCAGAAGTTATCTCAATCATTGAAGCAACGATTCATACTTAATCATTTATTAGGTATTTATTCTGAGATTTTACTAAGGCTAAATAGAAATCAAAGATTGCGCTTGTGAAAAGTAATCAAGAATAATCAGTGAATGCCACATCTTTCAAAAATACGTCTACCGTGTATACTAGACTGTCATGCCGACGACCTTTTTTCACTTTCAAATAGGCCATAAATTTCTTTAATAATGGTAATTGAGAAGCAGTAAAGAACACTGCAATAAGTAAAGATACTGTTATCAATCATAGCAGATGCTATTGCTAGATTGCTCTCTGCAAGGAAAATCTTTTTCTTGCCATAGATTTCTATTAGTACTCCAGAGGTTAATCAGCCGAGTCCGGTGCACTTTCCTCCACTCTGACTTGTTCTAAAAGCTTGGGAGTTTCACTGGCACATGACGTAATTTAGTAAGGGATCTCGTCTTAGGATCGCGCATAAACTACTCGTACTGTAGTGTGTAAGTCGCAGTGGCAGATTGAAAGTCTGTCGCCTTTATGCCAGCTAGACACACACTTGGCGCTTTCTAATTTTGTGATGGTAGTTTGAACGTACGAGTCTCCTACCGCTCTTCCCTTAGGCAACAATACGACTGCCTGCGTTGTCTCTGGCGCACAAGCGGTTCCCATCTGGTTCAACCTTTCATAGAACGGCCCCAGCTTTTGTCTTTGCTAATGATTAAAGGAAAAAGCATGAATCCCGTTCTGGAATGCTCCACACATTCTATTTCCATTCAGATCGTGGCGGCAATTTGACTACGACTTAGCTCGCATAATGATATGCTGGGGCAAGGCGATGCCCGTTCAGACAAGTCTGCTACCAATTCATAGACCCGGAGGATGGAACGTACACTTCACGTTCGCCCTTTTCAAAAATTTTGGCGACTCCCATCCCCCACCACCCACCACCATCAGTCTCAGAAGGCTCCCCCAATACGATCCCTTTCCCCTTTGATTCTGAGACCAGTCGACACAGCCAACTTGGTATCATGAAGCGGCAAATCCACCGATTTTGTCTAATTTTCACTACTTTCGTAAAATTCTCACCAAATTCGACGAAATAACCCGCCTAAACACAACCCCTTCGACGAACTCCCGTTCCACTATGGTAACCTTGCTCAACTCCAAAATGCCACTTTCACCTTTCTTGAATCACAAATACGATCCCCTCGTTCGAACAGTGTGAACAAACGGTTGATCCTGATGGAAGTTCACCAGTAAACATGCGTCTATGAGTGAATCTCAGAAGCCGTATCAGTGTTGTGAACTTGTTGTGAGGAGAGGTTCATTTCAGATGCATATCCATCGATGGTGGTATTGCTTGGTCGTTCGCCTTACTGTCCCACTACTTTTTCAGGTGAGTAAATACAGCACATTTACCGGCGTAAGATGTGGGTGCACGCGGTAGAGAAAAACATTGGT